TGTCGAGTCCGCCTACAGACGGGAGGTTGGACAGCTGACCCTGTGGTGTGGTCGTAACAACCTAGAGCTCAACACATTGAAAACAGTGGAAATGATAGTACATTTTAGGAGGAGCTCCCCCACCCTATCTCAGCTCACTATACTCAGCAGCACTGTTTCAATCATGGAGTCCTACAAGTTCCTGGGGTCCACTATCTCTCGGGACCTGAAATGGACAACCAACATCAGCACCATCATTAAAAAGGTACTTCCTGTGTCAGCTCAGGAAGTTCAACCTGCCTCATGAGCTTTTGATTCAGTTCTACAGAGGAATCATCGAGTCTGTTCTCTGCCATTTCCATCTCTGTCTGGTTTGGTTCAGCAACCAAACAGGACAGAAACAGACTCCAGTGGACAGTCAGAAATGCAGAGAAAATTATCGTTACCAGCCTGCCCTCCATGGAGGACCTGTACAACTCACGGGTCAAAAGGAGGGCAGAGAGGATTTCTGCAGAGCACTCACATCCTGGACACAAAGTGATTGAACTCCTCCCCTCTGGACAGAATTACAGGCCACTGTACGCCAAAACAACCAGACAGAGAGAGTTTCTTCCCCCGGGCCGCCACACTCATGAACAGTTAGCCTGTGTTTTGCTCTTTTAACTTGTGCTTTTTTTTTCACTTATACATATTCTGTATTTATTCTGTTTTTATTGTTGTGCACATGTTTTTTTTTTTTTTATTCAGTAGGTGGGTTGGGAACGGCTGTGGCTTAGGAGGTAGAGCAGCTCACTTCTTAACCAGAAGATTAGTGGTTCGATTCTGGGCTTGTCCAGTCAACATGTCGAAGTGTCGTTAAGCAAGACTCTGAACCCCCAGTTGCTCCTGGTGAGTGAATGTGTGAGCATTTGTGAATGTGAATGGCCAAGTAGTGTGAAAGCACTTTGAGTGTGCTGTAACGTGTAGAAAAGCGCTATACAAGTATAAGGCCATTTACAGTACCATGTAAAAAACTGTGTTTTCTTAATGTACAAAACAAATCACTTCCTGTTTGCCTTGTAAAAGGAGCAGAGAAAAGGCAGATGATTTGATTTATGCTTTGTGCTGCGTGGTGATATATGGTCACTTTCTTTGTAAGCCTATAGGTTCCTGCCTGAATTTGATTAATGTAGAGAAGGATTTTCTTAAAAGATACACTGAGCAGAGGGCACATTTTTGATATTAAAAATCTTGGTTTCCCCATTTTCTTAAGGTTACATGGTTCTATTTTCCTGCAGAATAAACTTAAGCAAAGCCATCTTATTGATATTTATTTTCTCATGGATTTTTGCATATTTGGTATTGGGGTCATCCAAAAGTAATGGAAAGTAATCAAGTTGTGTTACTTTTATATTATATTTCTATTTTTTTTTACCAGGTAATTTGTAATTGTTTTGGAATACAATTTCAAAGTAACCTCCCAATGCTGATCAAATTATTTTGCATGTTACATTCCTTTCCCTTTAACATATTTTAATCTGCGTCTAGCTGAGGGCACCTGTAAGCACCAGGCATGACAGTTAAAATCAGAACAGTGTTTTTGTACACCTATTTGTTGTACAAACAAAACTTAACACTTCCTAAAAGAGCCAGAGTATACTGGTTCCTAAAATGTTCTTAGTAGAGTCACGTCTGAAGGTATAAGGAAGTAGCTGCCTTTAAATGTAGGTTCTTATTATTTGGGAGGATTTGGGGGCTTGTCCTGAATTAATGGCATGTAAGAGGGAGGTCTGCAGGGAACTCTGTTTGCAGGTTCATGGTAGTGTTATGAACGCTCGACACACAGGTGAGCGAGCGGAAAAACAACAGACCCAGGCGGCTGGCTTCGGTGCAAGCAGTGAGATTTATTTACAGTGTCAAATAAGTGTGTAAATATTTACAAAGGTGAAGTGGTGAAGCAACCGGGTGTCGACCAGCAGTGGCAGGAGTTATGGTTAATGGAGTGATGATGGGCCGGGCTGCGGGTATCGGAATCACTCCTGGACTGGTCGGGTAGGAGATATGGATAGCTGAGGAGGTAATAGGAGAGAGTCAGATAAAAGGAGACTGTGCGTCGACCTGTGACGGTGGTGGCTGGTGGAGCTGAGGGTACCAGGATCCAGAGGAGAGGCAAGAACAGGAACTAGGCAAAACGCAGAAGGAAGCAGGGAACACAAAACATACTTGGCATAATGATAAACAAGAAAATAGCAACATGCATGGGAAGGTCTGACGATGGAGAAAGAACTAGCAGGGGACTAATAGGTGAGCAGTGTATAAATAAGGAGGGAGACTAAGGAGGCGCAGCTGATGAGTGTTAGAGAATCGGGGCAGGGGTGTCTAATCAAATCATCAGTGGAAGGGAGCTGACTAGTGCAAGAAAGAGAAGAGAGGAAGGTGCAGCCGGGCAAACCTGACAGGTAGTCAATTACTGAGTGAATATCTCTGCCAAAAAACCTCAAGCAGTGAGTGTTTGGAGCTTTAATATATTTCGAAAATGCCACCTTAGTGTGAGAGGTTAAGCTTGATTCCTAGGTCCAGGGGTTAGCATATCATTGCCTTCAAACATTGTAAAAGCCAGGTGTAGGTGTACTGTAGATATTAGAAGATAATGTGAGCAGTATTTGTGTTGTCTGATATAATTCTGTCCCCAGATGACATCAGTTTGCTTCAATATGATCTTTATAAAATTATTTTAATAAAGAGCATCAGCCTGAGAATTTACCTCCACTGTCAAAGCAGTAAGGGGTGTGGCTGTGGCTCAGGAGGTAGACTGGTTCAGTAGTTTGAACTCTGGCTTCCCTACTTGCTCCTGGTGATATTACCTGTGGGTGACTGGGAAATAGCGTAATGTGCTTTGAGTGCGCTTCAGTGTGTAGGAGAGTACTGTATAAGACCATTTAAACTATGTCAGTGGTTTTGCTCAAAACTCAGGCTATTTGTGATGTTTTCCACATTCATGTAACTACTCTCTTTTATATTTTACCACTCATTGTATCCACAGATTGGATCTGTTCTTCATTCAAACTGCCAAGATGCTTTCCAGATTGAGAAATCCCTGGGTTTTCATTTCCCTGCTTTGTATCACTGCAACTAGTGTGTTTTTCAGCTTTTTTTGGAGCTCAGCTGTACATTTCCTGGGTGCCCAGAAGCCAAGTTTTTGTGCCTGTCACAAATGTTTAACAGGAGGTGATCTATGGTTTAGGCAATTGGTCAGTTCATCTCCAATACCATTTTTGTCAAGACAAAGTCCAACCTCAGAGGATGCTTTCAACTGGTGGAAGGTAAATGTCAACTTATTTAACAACACACAATACATATTCTGCTCCTGTTTCACTGTCAGTGGTTTTGGAGATTCGGGCTGACTGGTCTGCAGCAAAACCTACAATTATTTTGGCTTCTCACACAGTTTTTCTGTTCCCTTTCTAAAAGAGGAAACATCAAGGTCAGTGGTCATCAACTAAAATTCCAGTCACCCAGTGCCATCCCAAGTCATGCTCTAGACTGTTAGGCTACACTTCATCATTTATTCAATTCTTTTAACAAGCTTTATTCCTCAGTTATGCAGACACATTTAAAGTTATAAAATGAGAAGTCTTGATAAACATTATCTCTCACCTCAGTTCACCTCTCATTTTGCCTAATTATCTGATAAGCATCCAATGTATGAAGTAATACAGACTTGTAGAACCACGGCACAAGTATTTTACTAGTTTCAAAGTGCATGACAAAAACCTTTACTGAGGCAGCTTTTTATTTTATTTCTAATTTAGTAGTTCATCTTGTTTTACAATTTAGCAGCATTTCAGCAGCTACCTTTAAGCACTTTTTGAAACACCCCTCCCCTCATTTTCCCTTTTTTTAATTCACCAAAATTGTTTGTTAGCTCTTCATTGAGCTGTGGAGGAATGGGTGAAGATAGCTGAGGTTAGTAGGGGAGCATTTTGGTTTTTGCTAAATAGTTTTTTAAAATATTTAACTTGGAACAATCATGTTTTTATACAAGAAACATATACATCTCTGCTTCAAATAAACACTAGCACCTACTGCTCTTGTACAATACAGTGTGATGTTACATGTTAATTATAACAAACAGAGGGTTTTAACACTTGCTAGAAAAGTCTGGCAAATCAGTGCAAACCAAATTCAGTATATAATTCTATGCTGTATGATATATTGGGTTACTTAATGTAATCCCTGGTTCTCCGATAACAGGGTGAAGTGTTCCACTATGGGGAACCACCTTGGGTGTGACCAACTACTGATGCTCCAGTGGCACCACATCTGTCTGGGACAGACAGGTCAAGCCATGCTCGGGGCTCTGCCCACCCCTGCTACTAGAATGCTTTCATACCGTGATGTGCAAGGTGGAAAGTGTTGGTGTAACACTTCATTCTGTTGTCAAAGAACCATGGATTACATTAAGTAACTCAATGTTTGATTTCTAACATTGCTCTGTTTTTCACTATGGGAGATATAGCCCACTCCAGGAGTGTGTAAGTCCTCCCGAAGCTGCAGAAAATAGATATTACCTGGGCATGATGCTTAAGCAGGCTCTGACCCATCTGTCCCCAGAACAGCATGGGCCAGTGATGGCCATGTGACATCTAACCTGTAAAAACACACAAATGTGTGCAGCGTAGCCCAGCTTGCTGGATTAGTGGAATATTCTTTTTCCTCACCTGGTGAAAAAAGTGGCAGAGTGTAGATCCGATCTGCTGTGGCAGCACTACAAATATGGCCACAGACCAGTTTTGTTTTGCTGCTGCCAGGTTTCTGTCCCTCATCGTGTCACTTAATGTTACCCCCACATGGGGGGCAAACATACACAGAAAGAATATTTATCTCATCAAGAGAGAAATGGTCGGATCAAGTGTTTACATGGCTAATACTGTCCTACTGAACAGATAGTCAAAGGCTTGCAACACCTCTTTTTTTCTGATCAGGCCAGACTGGGCCATTCCTTTCCAGTTGATGTGGTTACATGATGCATATTTATGCTAACTGGGCAGTTATTTTTCTTTATTACTTTTATTCAAATTATTAGTGGAATATTAGAGTTCATGGAAAGGCAGCTAATGAAAGAGAATCTGAACACATTCTATGGCTTTTGCTGAATAAATGCTATTAATTGTGTCAGAATAATAAAAACCACACTACTGGTATGTGGAACTGATACAGTTGTGTTCTTTGTTCTGTGTGTCAGCACATGCAGTCAGAAAGATGCAACTTCACTTTCTACAATACAACAGTGGACGAAGTGCTTAAGATGTTCAGCTCTGTTCCAGTTGTACAATCCAGTCCAGACCGCTGCAGGACTTGTGCTGTGGTGGGAAATTCTGGTAATCTGAAAGGATCACACTATGGACCTCTGATAGATTTTCATGATATTGTAATAAGGTAAACAGTCACACTTCAGTGACATCCCTGATCCCTATCTCATCTTAGTAAAAAACATTATAAGCACCTTTAAAAAACTCAGTGTCAACATATTGGCACTGAGACAGCTTTTGAGAAAAAATCCTCTGTAGTTTCACTAAAGTCAAATACAGTAGTATCCTCTAAATATCAGAATCCCTCTGCCACATATTAAGGATTTCAATGTAATATCAGCCACCATTTGTGTATTTATTACATGATATTAAACATGTATCTCCCTGTACTATTTAGAATGAACCGTGCCCCGATCAAAGGCTATGAAAAAGATGTTGGGACTAAAACAACTTATCATGCGATGTATCCAGAGAGCGCTATTTCGCTGGACAACTCCACTCGTCTTGTGTTTTTTCCATTCAAAATAAATGATTTTCTGTGGCTTCTCAAGAGGTTTAGTTCAGGGTAGGTGTGCAACACTATTCTCAGTGTCTTTACCTCTTAACTTTCAAAAATGCCATACTCTTGTATACATGTCCACTGTGTTTCAAATCATATAAAATGAAGGCTTTATTGGAGTCCTGTTCCAGCTCAAATGTGACACTGCCTGTCATCTACAGACCGATAAGTAGCTGAAACATAAAATGTCAATATCAGCACATTCATCAAATACTTACAAGTTCCCTGTGGTGTCTCATATTGATGCTCAAGGGTGCCTTTGGCGTCCATATAAAATGCACATGGTTTTATATAAAGAACAGCATTAACTCACGCACATCAGTATGAGATACAGTAACAAAGGTACTTCAAAAAACATCATCAAAAGCACCTATCCTTTACACACAGGCTCTATCTGGTAAGGTTTAGGATGAAGGTTTAGGTTAAGATTGTGATTTGGTACTTGCTGATTTATATAAAGCCCAACATCACACAGCAGAGTTGAACTTCTCTCCCCTGTGGGAAAGTCGACAATTTGTCTGACCCGCCCATCCTATCACCATAAAGCTTGCCACCATAAATGCATGACTAGCACCAACAAACATTAACTTTAAACTTACAGTGATAGATCATCTAGCCACCTGTGGTCAGTGTAATAATCTGAGAACAAAACAGCAGCTTATCACTATGTGGAGAGTGCACCAAAAATATCAAATTACATACAAACATAAAGTACAAAACAGGAAGTAGGCCCTGCCTCAGCTGTGTGGTTTGAGACTCAACATGCTCCAGTGGTAACTCAGTTCACATCAACAGCAAAAAACTTTGGTCTTGTCAAGAGAACCATCTGCTAGGGCTTTGAAGCTGAACTTGTTATTCAAAAGACCCTTTTCTTTATCCATTTCTGCTGCTGCATCACTTCCTGATTTCCTAAAATACAATGCGGGCTGAAGGTCATAATCACAGAATGTGCGTATGTTTAAAAAACTTGTTCAAGTTTTTTGTTAAAAAATTAATGCTTGGTAATCAGTTCATTAATTGCCAAATGTGAAAATGTAACAATGAATGTTTCCTCCAACAGGGATAAAAATCCTGGGAAGTCACAGATAGCTAACAAGGATCTGGTGAGTATTAAAATAATTTTGCAGAAAAATGACAGATATATACA